CCTGACTGTGTAATCCACTATCAGTAACACTTATTAACTGCAGAACATAAGTTGAGAGTTATGCATCAAGTACTTCTTGCGACTCCATGAGGTATGTGAGCGTGTTTTTTCCGTTCTCTGTTCTTGTTGGAAAAATCCGGTGGGAGTGATCGAGATCCTGAACGGTCGGCGCTAAACTTGCAACTGAAAACCGGTTGTCTAATATTACATTGGATTTGAAACATGACTGGGCTACACTCTAGTTTTCCGCCGAACTGGAAAAAGAACTGAGGATCGGGTTTGGCTCTAACCATTAAATGAAGCTTAGCGGTGGATTTGTCCAAATCGTTGCCAACTTTCATCCACCCATCTTGGAACACTACCAGTCTGGTTTGAGACATATTCAAGTCGACGTTAACCCACTAGCTTTCCACTACTGATGTTACATGTTCAACCTGTGCGGCCGGTGTAGACTTTGACGCAAAGCGTCAAGGGCTTCCCGGAAAGACTACGTATCGTCAGTGCATCGAGATGGAAGCCGAATGCGGAGGTGGATGATTCGCGGTGACTCACTTGCGCCGTTGCTGAGGGGAAACAAAGTTGTTTGGGATGGGAAGTTCTTGAGCCTCAGCTTGCAGAAACACGACGTCGTCGTCGGGTAAACGTTGGCTCCGACTGGTTTCGTCGCCTGCGAGAGTTTCAAAGCTAATGATTTGCAGATCAAACGAACGAACGGGCATGGATTCATCGCAAACAACGGTGGCAACTGAAAGTGAACGCCGAAGGCAATAAAGACTATTGAATCCTCGAAGTTGGCTCTAATGGAGGTAGCGAAGAACTCCTTCCCCCTTATCAGATTTCCATCAGAGGAAATATGGGATCATGTTCTTTTTTCGAGAGAAAGAAATGAAGGGAAAGCTATCATTTTCCTCCCCCAATCTGGAGCCCCCCCGGTTTTCTTTATCATCCATGCACACATTTATATCCAAAATGAAGATCCCCAGTCCAAAGCAAAAACGTGAGGTCGGGAGTTGAAGTTAAGGTGGTTATGGATGTTGTGGAAGTAGTGGGGGTTGATGGGTAGAATTAGTGATGGGGCCTAGCACAAAACAAAAAAGAAAAAGTTTGTTTTAATATTATATAATATAAATATTATATAGCGTAATATCATGCGTACTATATAATATTATATGTATGCTATACTATATAAATATAAATATAATATAATAATAATATATGCATATGATCGGACGAAAATAGGTGTCTATAGTAGTGCAGAAATATCGGTCTAAAAATGAGATTTATGAGTGTTCGTGTGAGTTTGACTATAATATGTTTGAATATATATATTCGTAAACCCGATCAATGTCATGGTTTGAATATAATCTATTCATAAAGCCAGAGCTTTCGAGTTTTCTCTATAACCAATTGCTTTAGCAGAATAACTCAGCTTTATTGTATATATATATTATATATATACATATATATTTTTATTGGGTAAATGGATTCCATTTCTTAAGCTCATTGAGGAGAACCTGTTATAGTGTAGATGTTTGTTGAAAGTCAGAAAATCTCATCGTTAGAGTTCAATTTCCAAGAAAATGACCTAAACTAGATTCACCCACTCGACCATTCCATCTGATAAGATCATGATCATCATTGAACATCATCAACAGAAGTAGAACCAATTAGCTTTGTAATCTCATATGTCAGTTGCCCATTTTGTCTGCTCCTGACACATACCTGAATGACAAACCCTTGATTGACTACTCTTGTGAAGAGAAAACTAACTCGGTCCCTACAAGAGAAAGGTATATATTTTGGTGTATATCTAGAGTAAGATCAAGGGGTCCTTGTTTTGCAGGTTTCAATCTTGTTATTTGTCAAAGATTTACAACCTTAATTATTAAAAAGCTTTTAATAAAAATGATATTCAAAGAATTTCAAGATTGAAATTTGCTCATTGTTCATTTTCTAAGAATGAAGCATTTTATTGAAAATGTTCGAACGTCAAATGACTTACAAATATTCACACATAAGAAGCACAAAAGAAAAACAAGTTCAAACAAGATGACGTGCATGAGAATGCAACAAAAACTACTGATGAATGCCCCAGCCGACTCCCGATCAGAATGCCCCATTACACATTAAACATTAATGCCCCTGAATCGATCAGATTTTGGACCTTGCGCTTCAACACCCTACAATTCTCAGTGGTATGCACTAAGCTCCCAATGTGATAGTTGAATACGACGTTAATATTATGGCCTTTAGGATATGGGTTCTCTCTTGGTTTGGATTGAACTAGAATCACAGGTTGTTCTCAACTAGCGTTGGGAGCAATTCATCATATGTTATCGGAATTGGATTAATGCGTGTCTTTTTTTGAAAAACATTACGAGACACAGTACCCAGACTAGCTAAATCCACTAGACTTATCTCAGCTCTTTCCTCAATATCAATATGGCTAGTACCACCTATCTGGCCATTCTTGATAGCTCTTTCGATCATTTCTTCGCTCATGAAGATGTTAGAGAAACTCTTAGTGACAACACCTATCTTATAGTCGATATATGGAGATTGTAATGTATCTATGAATAGGGTGATGAACTCTCTTTCAGTCATTGATGGATGCACTTGAGATGCGACATCCCTTCATCGTTAAGCATATTGTTAGAAGTTCTCATCACTCATCATCTCTATATTTTGCAGCATTGTTCGATAAAGGACCATATCAATCATGTGCTTATATTGGTCCAGAAAGGCACTAACCAAATCCTTCCAAGATCAGACTTGAGTATGGCTCAATTGGTTATACTATCTAGAAACGGGTCCAGTCAGACTATGTTGGAAGTAGTGGATCAACATCCAATCATTTTTTGTGTATCCAATCATCCTTTGAATAAACATCGTGAGATGGGCATTAGGACAACTGGTTCCATTGTACTTTTCAAACTCGGGCATCTTGAATTTGGGTGGAAGCACCAAGTCAAGAACTAGTACTAGTTCTGTTGCATCCATTTCGTTGTGAGAGATATGTCTTCTCATTCCCTTGAATGTCTCTCTGCACCACTATTTTAAATTCTCCAGGATCTCATTGTTGGCTCTTCTCATTGCCTTAGGAACATATATGTCATGATCAGTAGAATTACCCTGAGGATTTAACACAGTTGTATGAGTTTTAGTGGTAGGGAAACTTGTTGGGTGTCTTGGAATCTTGTGAGGTGAAATAAGTATTTGGGGACTAGCATGGGCTATCACACATTCGGAGATTTCATAGGTCGAGGAAATCTTCTCTTTGCCTCTTTCCTGGTTGAGCCCAACCAATTTTTCTACCATTTGGTCTACTAGGTCCTTTTGGTTTTGCAAGATACACTCCACGGTGGCTTCTTGTGCCTGCTCCATTTTAGATTCCCATTCTGCTTGCATCTTTTGCAAATTATCTTCCAGCTCTTTCTTTAGTTGCTCAAATTTGGCTTCTATTCTTAGTATTGTGTGAATGTAGTTACTTTTAGAAGCACTTCTTTAAAGTTTCCCACAAGATATGATTAATATATGTAAAATGCTTAAATGAATGTCATGCAAAATGCAAATGCAAAAGGTATCGATTTCCAAAAGTAACCATTATTAGAAAGAGTTTCATTTATCCAAAAGAGCTTTCATTTTTACAAGAGAGATCAATCTATGAATGTGGTTCGACCCTTTTAATTAGTTTCATGGTTTCAATCATGACCCCAATAACTTTCTCCTCTTTCCAGAAATGACTATGAATCCAGATGGTTAGTATTTGAGTGCAACCTCTGAATTACCTTCCCTCAAATCTATGTCAATCATTTAAGGATCGGAAAGTCTCTTCCAAGATAGCCAGTACATGACTTATAGACTTATACCTCTTCAATCTATCAAAGAAATATTCTTAAGACAATGCCCCGGAAAGACACTCGCTTTTGTTGAATGTGCTCTTCTATCCAATCTTCAACTATACTTGTAATCTTCATAAGCTTGCTTTTGAAGGATTGGACTTTCGGAAGTCTAAAATGAATTCTATCCACCTAGAGGCTCTCGAAATTGAATAGAGAATTATACTCTTCTATTATTGTTGTCAAATCTTATCTGTTAAAAGTGAATCAGTTGTATGCGGAATTCCGGCATCGGACCAGAGCTTTAAGCAATGATTAATCTATCTTTACGCAAAGGAAATAGACCATGTCACCATATTTCTTGTGAATTTTATTTGGTAGCTACTTCCCAAATATATATCATCTCTTGTAAAATTATTCTAATTGAAACTGACATTGACATCTGTGGACATCTGTGAGATATAATATCTAAGCAAACTATCTCATTTTGCCCTTTATTTCTCTAGATCAAGCACGAACAGTTGGATTGAGTTCTTCCTTGTTATGAAAATTCTTTTCCATTTCAATGATCGTTCTTCTAATCTGATGATTACTTGGTTAATCAAAAACTTTCTTTTATTTAAGATGATCATACAGAATATGAAAATGCAAATGCAGATGCAAAAGTGATGATCCTCTAAAATGCAATGCAACAAGGGACGGAAAATGACACAAGCAAAAGAAACGAGATAAGTTAGTGTGGGCAAAATAATCAATAAAATTAAAAGATGTTATTTAAAGATAAATATAACACCTATCCAATCATGATATCTACTTGGACATGCTTTAAATAGATAACAATCCTACCCGAACATGCTTTCTACCCAAAAATGATTAATTTCAATGAAATGATCCTAACCGCATGATATCTAGTTCGTATGCTTTTGTTCAACAAAATTTAAAGAAAAAGGAAAGGTTCAGAAATGCTTCTCCTTTGTGTACACTTAATTTGACGAACATAGGTTCGGTATGACTTTCATCGGGGTGGGTTACTAGGGCTCACTATATGCAGTGTTTCGGCTCTAATGAGAGAAAAAAGTACCCTAATTGTCCTTAATGTCGGTGCCCCCTTGGGCTACCAAACCCTCAATCTTGACCCATTACATGCTCGTGCAGATCGAGTTCAATTCGAGATGATACATTCCCTTATGTTCGTGCGGAGAAACAATTTATCTTACGTAGACATAAGGTATATGAACCCCAAAGGTTACTTGCTAAAACCCGTACGGAGAAATAAATTATCTCACGTAGGCTAAGCTTTTACCTCAACTTAAAAGGGACAAAGCTCGTAAGTGAGCTTATGATATGTAAATGCACGTGTTGTGTATGAGGAGAAACTCACAAACCTTTAAACATGACAAAAGATGAAACTTTCACAAGCTCCAAAAATCTGTTTAAATATGAAGACCACTGAAAAAATCGATTAGTTAAAAGTAGGATAAAGCATGATATGTCGAAACCCACAATAAATAAAAGGATCAAAAATTAAATACACTTTAAGTTTGTAATTTCAAATACAAAACAACGTATAATCGTTCATGGCATGACTCTCGAAGTCCCCAGCGGAGTCGTCAAGCTGTCATAACCATTTTTTAGGTGAAATAATTATTTATTATTTAAAAAAACAGTTATGATTTTAATTTTGGAAAAATTGGTGATTTGAAATTAAATTGGATAGAGTCGCCATCGACCTAAAAAAGTTTTTTTTAAAAAAAACAATTTTAAGAAAAATCGTTTTTAAGACAAAAAGTTGGTCTACGTCACCAAAGATTCAATTAAATGGATTCGAGAGTCGGTTACACATAGGGAAGGATTAGCACCCCCACAGTGCCCAAATTTTGGTACCTAAACGATTATATGTTGTTTAAATATTGAGAATTACAAACTCGAAAATATATTTAAATTACGATCCTTTTATTCATTCGAATTTATTTAAAAAGTGTCAAGGTTCAGATAATGAACACCATTTTGTAAGAACAATCTTTGGGAATGCATTTCCTTTGTAGTTAGGAGACTTTCTTATAGATTCCCCTCACAAAAACATTATTTCACAAATTTCACAAAAGTAAAATAAACAAAATAAAATATCAAAATAAATAAACGTGAAACAAAGAAAATTATTGAATACAACATAAACATTTATGCGAAAAATCCTCAAAAAGATACATTCCCTTTAGTTGAGAGATATCTTCGTAGATTTCCCTCATATTGAATTTCTTTTTATTTTTTCATATTAAAACCAGGATTATTTACAAACAAAGTGGAAATGAAAATTTCCTACAAAGAATATTTTTAATAATTACATGATTTATATACAAACATATATAAAATTATAATGATTGATAAACAGCAAAATTAAAAATATGTATCAAAATACACATTTGCAAACATGATAAACTAAAATACTAATAAAAGTATTTATTCAGGACTAAATTACAAAGATAAAAAGTTAAAGAGCCAAAATAGCAATAATAGATAGTTAAAGAACTAAAACAGTAAAAATGTAAACTTAAGGGACTAAAATGATATTAATAGACATTTAAAAGACTAAGCTGTCATTTACAGAAACTGAAAGGATCTAATTTACAAATATAAACAAATCATAGACCCAAATCACAAGTATTAAATAATACAAGCACCATAAATGTAAATTACCCATAAATAATATTTAGGACTAAAATAAAATAACCAGAAACATAAAAGATCGGATACTAATTAAACCAAATACAAGATAATGACTAAAAAGGAATATTTACAAATATAGTGGCCAAATTCGAATAATAACAATAATAACATACTATACAATAACAATACTAAATTACAAATGTTAAAAACATAAGCACTTAAAATAAAAGAAAACAAAGATTTATTAGCTGACTGAAATATAATATTACAACATAAGGGGAACCTAAACTGTAATTAACCCCTAATGAGAAAACACACAGAAATCCTTGACGAAACGACATCGTTTTGTATGGAAAATATAAACCCAAAACATGAGCTAAAAACCACTCATTTTCTCATTTGCCTCTCTTTTCAGAAAACTAAAGAGAGAGAGAGAGAGAGAGTTATAAAACTCTCTCAACTCTCCTCGTCGTTGAGAGAAAGGCGGCCACTACCAGATGCGCTCGCGGCAGCGACCACGATGGTGTACGGTGGCGTACGGCGGCCTGAGGGAATAAAGTACTCCCCGAATATTCTTCTCTCCTCGCTCAACCCGAAAACCACTTCCAACTTGCCTAAATCTTATCCCAACCCTCTAGATCTAGAAAAATACACAACCTTTTTTTACCTTCGATGATGGGCTTTTCTAACTCCGGTGAGGATACAACGACGGGTTTTTTTTATAAGGGTATGATCTCTCTATTTCTTCCTTGAATCCTTTTTTTCACCTCTGGTTTTCTTTGATTTGAATATATTGTTTGGTTTTTCTTTGGTTGGTTTTTTTTGAATGGGTTCCCCCTTTTTCTTTTGGTTTGAATCCCCTCCTTAAATAAATTTTTCCTTTTGTTTTCAATCATCACCGAATGTTATTGTCCATTTTTTCTTTGTCTTCTTGCTTGCTTTTCTTTTTTGGATAAATCAATCATATTATTACCCAAAGAACAAGTTCAACACCAAGAACAGAATCTGCTACAAACCAGCAGAGTTATGTTTTCCAGAAAATTCAACAGACAAAATAATCAAGAACAGCTTATATTCCAAAGTTTACAAAGGTTAGAATTAGTGCTATCATTTCTATTTATGTTCCTATTGCTCAGTTGAAATCACACCACATCCTTAATGGTAGTGAACAGCTCTTGGGCATTTCTGCTGTGACCTTGAAAGAGCCTCCTGTTTTTTTCTTCCCAGAGGATGTAGATAAGAGCATTAAGAGCAAGTTTCATAATAAAAGTGAACAAAGATTTACCTTTCAGAGTAGAGCTTGCCCACAAAAGAAAAGCATCCCAAGAGGTTAAGGAATGTTGCATACCAGTAAGTGTGAAGACATAATTCCATAATTGCTTAGCCATAGGGCAGAGGAGAAACAAGTGCTCCCTTGTTTCCCAAGGATCATTGCAGAATAAGCAGTGGCATTCATTGATAAGCCCCATTTGGTGAAGTCTCACTTTTGTTGGAAGTCTATCCAGTAATGTCATCCAAGAAATCAAGTTGTGTTTAGGAATGTGAAAAGGAAACCAGATAATTTTCTGGCAGGGGACTTGGGATTTGTTATCACGAATCGCATCCCAAATTTCATTGTTCCAGCAGACAAAACTGAGGAAGCTTCGGTTCTGAGTTTAAAAATATGCCTCAAGTTACAGCTACAAGTGGGTTGAACATTAAAATTCCAGAAATTGTTGCCTTTAAGAACATAGTGATTGACCCATGCAACCCATAGAGAGCCTTGACCTACTAAAATATTTTTGATATGAAGGATCATACAAGCTTTATTCCAAGTCTTCAAATCTTTAATACCAAGCCCTCCCTCGGATTTCAGAAGACATATTTTTTGCCAACTCACTCTAGCTCATTTCACTGCTTTATCCTCACCTTTCCAGAAAAAACGTGAGCGAAGTTGCTCAATTTTATTAAGAATAGAATGAGGAAGAGAGATTTTCCTATACCAATAGTTGGTGATACTGAATAAGACAACTTTGATTAATTCCAGCCTTCCAGCATAGCTTAGGGATTTAGTAGACCAATGATTTAACCTTGCTCTAATGCTATCAAAGAGAGCAGCACAATCTCTTTCAGTAATTTTTCTAGTGACAAGAGGGATACCGAGATATCTTACAGGAAGTCTGCCAACTTTAAACCCTGTGAGCAGTTTGATTTTCTCCAGAATCGAGCATTGAATACCAGCAGCATAAAGATCACATTTCTAAGCATTAATATTAAGACCATACATCTCATAAAACATATCAAGGACACTAGAAACCCCAATTACAGAATCAACAGTACCTTTACAAAAAATTAAAAGATCGTCAGCAAAAGAAAGATGAGAGAGACCAATTTTTTTACATTTCGGGTGGAAACCAAAAATACCTTTGGCAGCTGATAGATTGAGGAGTTTAGAGAGAATGTTCATAGAGAGAACAAATAACAGAGGGGAGAGAGGGTCACCTTGACGAATGTCTTTTGCTCCCTTAAAGAAACCAATAAGACTCCCATTAAAGGAGATAAAGAATCTAGCAGTAGAAAAGTAAAGTTCAATCCAATTGATGAAAGTACTTGGCAGACCAATGGCTTGTAAAATGGTAGAAATGAAGTCCCAATTCAATGTGTCAAAGGCTTTATGAAGGTCAATCTTTAAAGAACATCTAGGAGAGATATTCTTCCTATTGTATCCACGAACCAATTCTTGAGCTAGAAGAGTATTATCCACAATACTTCTCCCTTTTATAAAAGCGGTTTGCTTTTCTTTTTTCCTTTTGCTTTATTTGTCTTCTTGTTTTTCTTTTTTCCTTTTGCTTTATTTGGTGGGAATGATGGGTTTAGGTAAAGTGAAATCTCAAAATTTTTGGGATTTAGATTATATATATATTTTTGACTTTGGTGTTGATTTGGTGGTTGTTGACGTAAGTGATGACGACGTTGATCAGTTGGACTTTCAATGGTGGCTCAGGAACAGTTGGTGGAACATTGGCGCGGCTCATACGTGCAGGGAGAGGGGCGATGATGCCCACGCGCCAGGGGAGCTGAAACGTTGTTGGAGGTGGCGGCGGTTTGATGCTTTAGGGTTTCTAAAACCCTAATTACACTGGGTCGGATCGGATCTAGACATGGTTCAGATCGGTGCGGGTCCTGGGTATGGTACTAGGCTTCAGTTGGGTTGTTGGGTTGATGCTTGTAATCTAGACTTATAATTGGGCTCGATCTTATAATTGGGCTTATGTCTAGGCCTGACACATATAATATATGGATTAAAATAATAATAAGAAGAATATAATATTTTTTCGACCTGGACAAAAGCGGATGTCTACAATATTCAAAACTTGTAAAAGTAATTTTAAACAAGTTGAGATCATTTCTTTATTTCAGTATCGAATATGATTTGAATCGATAAAAAAAATCTATCCCAATCTACTTATGGCCACCCTATCCATATTTGATCTTAACAACAACGATAATGTTGATATGATGATTGACACACGTGATGTTAGTTTTATCATAAACTTAGAAATTTATAATGAATTTTTTATTTTTGGTGTACGTAGAGTTGAAACATATCGTATTTGGGAAGCAAAATACTAAGGGTATGAACGTTAAATGTCAAATGATTAAGAATTATTTTTAAACATATAGTATTTTATACTTATCAGATACTACTACCCTAGAATAATAAAAATAATACTCACATATCAAATAAGATTCACAATAATATGAATATAAAAAATCCTAAATAATACAAATATTTTGAAAATTTAGGTTACAAAACATGTCTCGTTTTATTAACATCTTTCAACTCTAAAAATTGTCAGATTTAACACTAGATTGTAATATTCAATTAATTCATTTAAATTTAAATATATTTTTATTATACAATATTTGAATATATTCTTAAAACAATTGAGCTCAAAACCATAAAACTATAAGTTTTAAAACCAAACCACCAATCAATAAAATATTAGGTAGTAAACTACGCAATGAGTGCCTAAACTATCGATTTTGAATCGTTCTAATACCTGAACTTTGATTTTTTCAAAATCATACATAATATATAGTTTTTGTTTCATTTTAGTACCTACTGTTAAACGTAACACATTTAGTAATTAAACTATCAGTTTTTGTTCGTTTTAGTACTTGTACTTTTTCTTAAGAAGCTTAACGTTAAATTTTAAACATACTTGACTAAAGGGCTATTTGTTTACTTCAAAATGATTAAACGCTGAAAGATTCAAATACTGAATGATTCAGAAGCTCTGGATAAATTAACTCTGAATGTGACATGATATTTGTTTACTGACTCTGAATCATTTAAAATGTACTTCTGTGTTGAATCATTCAACACTGTTTTGCTGAATCAATCAGCTCTGAATCATTCAGAAGTACGAAACAAACACGCTAAATGCTGAACGGTTCAACATTCTAAGCTGAATGATTCCATTAAGAGACAACCAAACCGCCCCTAAGAGTGTTTAATCCGTAAATAATGATTTTAATGATGTTTTTTTGTTGAAAAGCTAAACTACATATTTTTTTCGGGAGATTTGAGCAAAATATTTCAAGTCTTTTCATTAGATGTAAGTCAACGCATGTTAAACCAGATAATTGCAAGTATAGCAAAATACAAGAAAGCGATTCGTAAATGTCCTATGTTCTTTGCATAACGTTTCCTTGACAGTGTGACGCAACACTAAAAAAATAACAGCGGTAACACATCGATGTTGCCATCCGTTTCTCATGCAGCTGACGTAGGACACGATGACCATGGTCTAAGACGCAGAATTCGAAGCACTAACCTGCAAGACGAGAGAAGTCAGTTTGATTGTTAGTTTATTCTGCAAATCATACTTGACGATGGCATTCGAAACATCATGACAACATCGTTAATGTCTGAACGACAACCACCACCTAAAAGAAGCCATATTCAGGACCATGCCACAATGTATAAAAAGTTCATCCTTTCATAGTGTACTACTTGAATTAATTGCGTAGTCATTTCACTCTGTTCTTATCTCTCCACAGTACATCCTTAGGTTGTTTGGACTTCCGACTCGTCACTTCTCTTTAAATCCCATGCCTATAGGGATAGATCCTCGAAGAACCTTCTAATACATGGAAAAACTTATATATGTCGAATACATATCCGTATCTGACACACGAACAAGTTCATGTAACATAGATTCATCCTTTTAAAGATCACACTTCTCATATGAGCAAGCCAGATTGAACATGGCCATGACCATCCGTAATAACTTCTCTTTTCAAACAAATAAACTAGTTCTCAAGCAAAAACATACAAGACATCCTAAAAGCTTTCTTCTAATTTAATTAGATTAAAACATTATCCCAAATTGTTAGAAACAACTAACATGATTGTTTCTATATCAGCTATTTACTTATAACACGTGAGATAACAGAGCAGTTTCGAAATAACTCACCAAATTTCAATTAAAAGCAGAAACTCGACGTCTGTTCCTTAGTTTCAAATTCGCAGTTGAGAATTGGATGGACACTTCACAAGCAATGGACCATTTAGTATCTAATGGGAAATAAACTTAAAAGGATAGATCGATTTCACTGACAACATTTTATGATCTATGATCACACGAAGCTTTTAGTTTGTACTCTACACCAACGGGGTTCCCGCATTTTGTACTCTACACAAAGGAGTTAATCATTCAAAGCAAAATATAATTGATACGTTGTCTCGTCTAAGATGAAAAAAGCACAGCCATGAATAAGTCCATCAATTCAATTCACAGCCTTTACTGCAGGAGCAACAAAACAAAGTAGCAAAGCCTTGACAAAGTTATAATCGAATACCTAAATGATTCGAGGAAAATTTCCACATTTAGCTAAACAAGCATTTATATAGTCATCATGAGTTATATGATTCAAGGATCATGCTTCAAAATGGCACAACACTTCCTAAGAATACAATGGCACTAACATTAACATTGAAAGAAGATGCAATGACTATTTGTGAAATTGTATCCCTAACCCTATGTTCTGCAATTCATTAAAACCAGCTAAAAGAAAACATCCCAACTTGCATCATTTATGGAAAAACTTTACCATACCCGATGAGTTTCGACTTTAGGAGTATTCAACTGCTCTTGGAAGCCATGGCTTTTCTGGCAGCATACCAGTCCTAGCAGCCCTTGCATTATCATACTCAAACTTCAACACACCTTGTATATGAGAAGTATCCTGGACATAAAAGAACCTCCCAAAGGCACTCTCTTCAATCAAAGGGAAATAACAGAAAAACAATGAATTCACTACCCAAAACCAAACCCCACCAAGAAAAGCACCCAGAGCAGCTCCTGCAAAAACTTGAGCCACAGTATGGTAACCAAAATAAACCCGGAATACAAAGTCAAAACAGCCAACGACCATGGCAAAAACAAAGCAGCCCACTTGGTTCTGACTTTCCAAATCCCAC